GAACAACTGCTGGCGGGGACTACTGCCGGTATCTTACATTCAGTTCACTTTCTATATCATGTATAACAAATCTAACTTCATTGAATCCGTCAAATTATTTTTTGCGAAAGTGAAGATTAAGAAAAACAAAACAGGTAAAACAAGGATGCTCACACACACGCTTTTACAGCTGCTTGTCTCGTGCTTTACGTGTAGCCATGGTGTAGCCAAGTCCGGGCCCAAGTGTTTCACTTCCGACTCGTTGTGGTCGGAGTCCATGACACGTAATTTGGTCACGAAAACTAAGTCTGCCATGTGCTCAAATTTTCTACCTTCTGTTTATACCTCCATGGTCTGATCAATTAAATCATGGAAGGTACCTTCCACGATTAAATTTTCATAATAATCGCTTTACATACTGTTGACGTTCTTCTCCAAATTTCCTTTCATTCGTTTTCTTTCGTCACTGTCATAGTTGAAGAGCGAGAAATTCAACGAAATTAAATTTGTGGACGATCATAAATGGAATGCATGTAACTTGTACCTCGGACTACTTATACTTGTATTACTAGTACTAGTCTGAGCTTGTACTGAATGCAAGAGACTGTTTATATTTGCTATGGGTGGTGACTATTATGCAAATTATCTGTCTATTATGTCTTTGGCTGATTAATTAATACATAGCTTTCAAAACAATGACATGTGCTTTTGTTTTTAATTAACAAAAATTGATTTTTACACCCTATAAAAACATCCAATTCACTTGTTTTCCTACTGAGTGTTTGCTCCTTGTAGTCCAGCATTGAAAAATACAAAAAAGTAGAATTTTGAGTTTCAAAGCAAAAAAAGGTGTACAGCATCCTTAATCTCAATGTACACTATAAAATAATACAGCATAAATTGTAAACAAGTTCACAAATAATAGTGCAGTAATATATTTAAGCAAAACAACAACAAAGACAGACATTTTCCCCTCATATACCTTTGCCTTTCATCTACACACAATTGGACATTTTTTTTGAACAGCACACCCTGGATTCAAACCAACGATTTCCAGGTGGACAACTGTGTGAATGCATGGTCACTCTACTAAATCAGCTATGCAGGTGATTTGTCATACATGTAAACTACAATATGTAGTTCATTATAATAAACACATGGATACCATGTGATAATACAGGTCATCAACCCATAGTCCTATACCAAAGAAGTTACATGTACACTTCAACAATACATGACCTTCGTATAACTACATGTACATGTGAGTCTAACTCCTACTCTTACTCCTACTAGGTCGCTATCTTTAAAGACTGTTTCAGAACTTCCTTCTGGTAAGTTTCTGTTGTGCTCAACCCAGACCTCAGGCACAAAACAGTCAGTGAAAGACAATATATATTTGCAATAAGCAGTGTGCATGGTATGGTAGAAATGCTTAATTTGGGTGGAATTTTTTTTTACAGTTATTAGGAATATTCCTATGTGAAATGAATTTGTGATGTTAAGTGAAATAACATACAGCGATTTCAGCCTTACTCATGATTCCAAACTAATGACACAGCATTTTTTGATCCATTTCGCCAAACAATTGATAGGTTACAAAATAATACAATCTGGTCAAACTCTCGAAAGGTACCCAAGAGTAAACTGAAAATCAAAGAAAGCTTAGAAAGAACTCCCATGTGCTGAGAGTATTGAAGACACATTAAAAATTAATTCAAAATTACTTGTACCTGTGATATTAATGGAAAAACTGAAAACTAATTATGTAAATCAAGTAACTAATATGAACAGAACAGAACAAAAAAATTATGAATTATTATGCTAATTAGAGAATTAATATAAACAAATTTTAACCCAAAATTAATCAGGCCTGTCTATTGTCCTAGAGCATTTATGTACCAAATTTTATTCAAATGTGATGATTAGTACTTGAGATATTAGTGGAAAAAGCCGAAAATTGATTAATCATTATGCAAATTAGGTAATTAATATTGCAAAGATTTTTACCCAAAACTAATAAAATCTGTGCATTAGTTTGGAGCATCTATGTGCCAAGTTTCATCAAAATCCAATGAGTGGTTCTTTAGATACATGTATCAGTGGAACAGTCATAGAACAGCTAAAAAACCAGCTAATTATCATGCAAATTACGTAATTATTATGCATGGACTTTTACCAAAACCTAATCAAAAATCTGCGCATTGGCCCAGAGCATCTATGCACAGAGTTTCATTAAAAAAACAATGTATGGTTCTTGAGATATCGATGGAAA